TCGATGTCATACGTCGATCGGTCTGCGCAGCGCCGCTTCAAGTCGAACACACACCTGCGGAATGTTTTAAATCTACATGGGAAAAATAAAATAAAATAAAAATCGCTTTCTTTTTCTCAATGATTATGTTTCAATTCCTCATGCTGTTTCAGAATGGAACAGATTAGTGGAAATATTTTGTGGAAAAAGGTTTGGACTCTATATATTCCCAAGTATCTATTGGTAAATAAGGTTAAAGTTGGGTTTGTCCCTTTTTAACCCAGCGCTGGGTTATATTTAACCCAGCATTTTTTAGAGTGCATGACTGGTGTTTACTTGTGTTTATCGGCTCAGAATAACACACATTAGCTCTCATCAGAAAAGCTCCAGTGATATGTGACAGCCTGCGGATGGACATGGCCAGAATGAGGAGCAACAGCTCACTGATCAAGACTAATTTACAGCTACACACTGAGACGTAGTGCCAGCTGAGACTCGAACACACCTCCACCCCCATCTCTCCTTCCATTCATTCATCTGTCCATCCACCCGTTTGTCTGTTCATCCTAAAGGTAGACTGGTATCTGTGAGTAATATTTGACATTTAGCATTAAAAAATGGCAAAAATATCAGTGGTATTAGTGTGTTATGTGTAAGCCAGGTTGAAGAGATGGGTCTTTAATCTAGATTTAAACTGACAGAGTGTGTCTGCCTCCCGAACAATGTTAGGTAGGTTATTCCAGAGTTTGGGCGCTAAATAGGAAAAGGATCTGCCGCCCGCAGTTGATTTTGATATAAGAGCAAAACAAACCACGATTTTTGAAAGAAAATATGCTTACTTGTGCACAATGCTTAACCACAGTGCTAGGGCATTGTGGATGGTTGCCATTGCATTGCTATGCTGTTCTGGTTAACATAGTTAAGTGTGTTGCTATGCAGGTGCTGCTGTAGGTTGTTGTGATTGCTTACAGTCAAAAAGCCCATCCCAAAGTCTATATAATGCCCTGATATCTAGACATGGCTCTAGATAAGTCCAAGTGAGTTCTTTATTTTATTGTATGGTGATGGATTAGTTTACTTAAAATATTAAGGGGGCGATACACACAAATGAATCATCATTTCATGTAATGTTTGATGAGTGGTAGTAATAGTGATGCTTGTCTTAGTAAGCATCACTAATAAGCTTTTATAGACAGAATAATGTTTTCCTTCATTTATTTATTTATTTTTTTTAATTGTTTTGAACCTTTGGAAAGTAAAAAAAAAAGAGTTTGCATATGTGTTTTAGGTTGAGTATCATATTTGATACATCAGTCTTTTATGGTTCATGCATGATATAGGAGAATATGAAGCTCATATTTGAGGAGGAAAAAATATCTCCGTTTTATTCAGAGGCCCAAACTGAGCAAGTGTATGCAATTTGGTGCAGATGCCGATATTCGCCAAAAAGTAAGATGAAATTCTGATAGCTTGAAATATAAATCAATTAATTTTATAACAGTATAACAGAGAACAAAAAAATGCATATAAATATCAGTTGTCACTTTATATCTCCCAATAATATGTCTTGGTAAGATTGCTTAGTTTTATGATTAAAACTTTGTTGTTTTATTTGGGGGCAAAACATATAATACAATTTAAACAAATACATTTTCTTCAAAAAAATTGATGTATTTGATACTCACATTTTAACGTGATTTTTCAAAAATAAAAAAAATGTAAAAAGTAATCGCAAGTTGCTTCAGTCCAGTAATTTTTTATCTTGAAATATTACTAATATAAAAGTTTTTCTTATGTTTACTTTATTTACATTGTCACGATTATACTAAAAGGCCTTTTACTTGCTCAAATATATAATCTATCAATCAGACGATAAAAGGCAATGTTTTCCAGCAAAGTTTTGATCTTGATAGAGGCCTTAGAAATGTGTGTGTCACATATGATACAGTAGGCATTAAAGTATTGTTAATTATGTAAGGAAAACTAAAACTAACCATGCCAGTCCTGTAAAAAACTATATGGCTGCATGGTCTGGTCTAGTGACTCGGTCAGATTATAAAACTAAATGAAAGCTTAATTCTGCCCTCTAAGTATTTTTATGGGTCTATTGGGATCTTCTTCATTTATATAAGGACAACAGCAGTGAGTCCCCTGGTCCTGATTGACCTCTGAGGGTCAGAGATTGTATGATGTCTTTCACAGTCCACGCCCAAATTCTCCTTTGATCAATAAAAGATTTACTCCACATCCTCAGATTTACTTCCCTCATTCCCAAATGACCGAACCTTTGGATTTCAGGGGGCTGTATTGTGTGTGGCACTGCTGTTTAACGCCTATAATGGCCAACAGACAGTTTTATGGTAGAACTGATGGTGTGTCATAAAAGCGGCAAATTAACACTTTTAGAAAATGACATCGAATCTAATCATGAACTCTTGTTCTCCTCATGAATTACTTTAGAGTGAGCATAAACAGAGGTTTGCATGTAAGGAAGTATATACCAGGGATAGTCACACTTTTTGTTTCAGTAAATATTTGTCTGTCCTTAAAATCCTGCCTGAAAAGATGTTGAACATTTTCACCATTATTGTCCAGGAAAAAACAAACAAAAAACAACAACTTTAAACTCGTGTGACAACTAGCCCCGGTATATGATTTCACCTTCTCATGTTTGCACATGTTCATGATGTCTCTAAATTATATGTCAGTACTGTGTATATAGATTAGACAGAACTGCACGAGCACTTGACATTTGCATGTACTAATAAGCTGCTCATCATCACTAATCACCGTGGATGATTATTGACTGGCGCTAATAGGTTGAAGATGCCTCCAGTGGGGTTCGTCCCATCACAATGATTCAGTGATGGATGGAACAGACTGACATGAATACAGATAGTTAGTTAGTGAATTACCTCCTGCTGTCAGGACACTCATTAATGTGGGACAAGTAGTAACGAGGTGTGTGTGTGTGTGTGTGTGTGTGTGTGTGTGTGTGTGCGTGTGTTTACAGGTTCACATATGAGATTGCACCCGTGTTTGTACTGATGGAACAGCTCACCCTGAAGAAAATGCGAGAGATCATTGGCTGGCCAAATGGAGAGGGCGATGGCATTTTCTCACCAGGTGTGAACATGTGAACAGCAGAATAATGAAGAATTCTAGATTAAGGGGTAATGTTTAATATTTCACACCAGTGGCTGGTGTTTTCATCGGTGCACCGATTCACAAACAAACAAAAAATGATGTCCTGTGGCTGTCTTCACCTTACTGCCATGTTAATACATATTTTTGCAGACAATGCACAAATATTAATTTGACCCAATGTAATCCAGCCACAGAATAATCTAGAACTGTTCATTATGTTCTGTTCAGCTGTTCATCTACAACTGTTATGTGATAATTAACACACAATATTAACACTGAAAGCCTGACATGTGAAATAATAGTCTGAAAAATCTTTTTCTTTTTTATTGGAACCGTATATTGAACAAAATAAAATAAAAAAGTTTGTATAAAGGCCTTAGAAATTTGTGCATCAGATATGATATAGTAAGCTTTATAGGGTTAATTACAGACCTATGAAATGAAGTGAAATGTGTGTTCTTGCAGGAGGAGCGATCTCAAACATGTACAGCGTGATGGTGGCACGGTACAAACACTACCCTGAGGTTAAAATCAAAGGCATGGCAGCGGCTCCCAGACTAGTGCTGTTCACCTCTGAACATGTAAGTCATTTACTCGCTCTCTTTCTTCACTCTCTTTCTTCTCTTGCCTTCAGTATGCATATATATATATATTTATATTTGCAAATGCATATGAGCATGAAAGTGTTCCTAATATTTGTTTAATTAAAGAGCAGGTCATATGGGTTTTCAAAAAATATCTCTTTTGCCGTTTGTAAGGTAGCTATCCTTCAATGTAAAAAGTCTGCAAAGTTGTTAATCAAAAAAGTGCATGATAAATAAAGATATTGTCTCTCAAAAGAAAGAGTCGACTCAGAATCGCCTTAACGAGTCGTTATATTTTCGAATCTTCTGCCTGTTACCGATCTACGTCACTGGGTAACACA